ACAAGTCAAGGCAAGCCCACATTGTTTCAGAAGTTTCCCATTACTTTCTTGAGTGATTATTAATCTTATTGTAGTCTCCCAAAGCCCCCTAAAGTTCCATCTCTATCTACAATTCCCTCATGGGGTTTCTAAGCTAACTATCTCAGTCATGTCCAACTCTTTGTGACCCCATGGACTGTAGCCTGCCTGGCTCCCCCATCCCTGGGATTCTCCAGGCAAGAACACTGGAGTGAGTTGCCATTTCCTTCTCCAATGTATGAAAGTGAAAAGTGTAAGTGAAGTCGCTCTGTCGTGTCCGACTCTTAGCGACCCCATGGGCCGCAGCCTACCAGGCTCCTCTGTCCATGGGATTTTCCAGGCAAGAGTACTGGAGTGGGGTGCCATTGCCTTCTCCACTGGGTAGTCCTACTTCCCATTAAAAATATACCTATTTAACTCTATGATGAAAAAAGAGTTGGAATCTGGTTTTTCAAAAAAGTTTTAGGGAGTCAAGCAAAATTGGGTGCTGCCCATTGAAAGAGGGCATGTGACAGTTTGACTCTGACAGTAGGAGGGGTACTCAGCATCGAGGCGACTCCTGGAGAGAAACGGGGTACTCTGGCAAACACAGGTAACCCCGTGGGTCAAAAAGCCAAGCCAGTTCCCCAGTAGTGGGATGGCAGGAACCAGCCACCTGGTGGGGTCTCGATGTGGAACACTGGTTCCTGAGTAGAACTGGGAGATAATCAGGTTTTCCAGAAGGGACCCTGGGCCCAGGGAGCCAGACAGGGGTCCAAGAGACTCAGGAAGCAGACTCAAACTGAGGGTTGGACTAGCAGGGGATGAGTTCATGCTGAGTCCCTGTTCAATGGCCTAAGGGTTTCCTTAGGCCAAAAGGAAGCAGTTCTATAGAGTCCATGTCAATGGGCATCCCTGGGGACTTCCCCACTAATCCAGCGGTTGGAACTTCACCTTCCAGTGCAAGGGGTACAAGGTCTATTCCTGGTTGGGGAGCTAGGATCACACGTGCCTCACATCCAAAAAGCCAAAACATGGAACAGAAGCAAATGTTGTGCCACATTCAGTAAAGACTTTGAACATGGTCCACATAAAAAAAAGAACCTCTGCCCTGGAGGCTAGGCCTGGCTGAGGGTTCAGGGGGGCATAGGTGGTCACTGGAAGACATGAGAGGTTGAGAATCAGGTCAGGTCTGGCAGAAAGACCATCACAGCAACCAACTGGAACCACAGCAATAAACTGCAGCCATAGCAGTTCTACTCTGAACTGTGCATAGAACCCTCCAAAGTGGGACTAGCACACCATTTCAAAGAAGCAGAAACTGAGGCTCAGGTTGACTGAAGCCACCATGGAGCTGAATTGTGATTCCTAAACACTGAGGCTCTTGCTAGCCAAGTGGGTTCCTTCAGCCCCAGCACAACTCCCTGCCCCCCACCCCACCCCCACCCCCACCACCCCTACTCTCAGCTTCATCCCACACTCCTGCTAGATACATTTTGAGCCCAACTCACTCACCTAAGCCCAGCATTTATCCCTGAGTCACAGAGGTGCCTTTAATATCATTTATATCTCAGCTCTGGAGCCGTATGTGTTGAGAAGCAAGAGAAGATGCTGAGAAGTCTTCCCGGGGAAGCTCTGCCTGCTGCCCTGAGACTGTGCAGACGCCTCAGGGAACACAGGGCGCAGCAGTGATCCTAACACTCATTCTCCAGCATCCCTCAGGGAGGAGGGTCCCAGGCTGAGGGCTCTGGCTCTGCTCCTTCTGCATCTCGGTCCCCCACCTGAGGGTGTGGGAGAGGCTCCCACTCCTTAGAAGTGACTTACAGACCTCTCTTTCCAGACCCTTAAGCAAGAGAGCACACTATCCAACAGGTTCAGGTCTTGCAACAGAGGGTTGGTGGCTCCACCCGTCATTCCAGGAGACCTGGGACAATCTGTGTGGTCTCTAAATCAGTGGATCTCCAAGTGGGGCCTGAGAACTTGTTAGAAAGGCAAATTCTCAGGTACAACCCCAACCTATGTGTCAGAAACTCTTAGGGTGAGGTCCAGCTCTAAGGGTCTTAAATTTTTTTTTTCCCCCAGCATCTTAATCTTAACCAGGCAAATCTGATGCACACTGGCTTTGGAAGCCCCGTGGGAAACCATATTACTTTGAAAATCTGTTTCCTTGGATGCAAAATGGGTATTATCAGTGTTCTTAGTGCAAAGGGTATCTTGAGGTTAAAAGAGATAATTCCTAAGGTCCTAGAGTTCCTGGTTAAATGTTAGCGTTATCTCACCAATTACCACTCTTAAGAGTTCAAGCTGTTTCACAAGAATGTAGGAATCTGGGGCTTTCCTGGTGGCTCAGTGGTAAAGAATCTGCCTGCCAATGCAGAAGACATAGATTTGGTCCCTCATCCAGAAAGATCCAGGCAGGCTGGTTCAAAATTGGTTCAAAAAGAATGTCAAGGCTGTATATTGTCACTCTGTTTATTTAGCTTCTATGCAGAGTACATCATGTGAAATGCCAGGCTGGATGAAGCACAAGCTGGAATCAAGATTGCCGGGAGAAATATTAATAACCTCAGATATGCAGATGACACCACACTATGGCAGAAAGTGAAGAACTAAAGAGCCTCTTGACGAAAGTGAAAGAAGAGAGTGAAAAAACTGGCTTAAAACTCAACATTCAGAAAACTAAGATCATGGCATACGGTCCCATCACTTCATGACAAATAGATGGGGAAACAATGGAAACAGTGACAGATTTTATTTTGGGGGGCTCTAAAATCACTGCAGCTGGTGACTACAGCCATGAAATTAAAAGACGCTTGCTCCTTGGAAGAAAAGCTATGACCAACCTAGACAACATATTAAAAAGCAGAGATATTATTTTGCAAACAAAGGTCCATCCAGTCAAAGCTATGGTTTTTCCAAGTAGTCAAGTTATGGATGTGAGAGTTGGACTATAAAGAAAGCTGAGCACTGAAGAATTGATGCTTTTGAACTGTGGTGTTGGAGAAGACTCTTGAGAGTCCCTCGGACTGTAAGGAGATCAAATCAGTCAATCCTAAAGGAAATCAGTCCTAAATATGAATATTCATTGGCAGGACTGATGCTGAAGCTGAAGCTCCAATACTTTGGCCACCTGATGCAAAGAGCCAACTCATTGGAAAAGACCCTGATACTGAGAAAGAGTGGGGGCAGAAGGGGAGGACAGAGGGTGAGACGGTTGGATGGCATCACCGACTCAATGGCCATGAGTTTGAGCAAGCTCCGAGAGGTGGTGATGGACAGGGAGGCCTGGAGTGCTGCAGGCCCTGGGCGTCAGAGTCGGACATGACTGAGTGACTGAACTGAAATGAATGCAATGACACCAGTAAAATGCCTGAACATAATGGGGAAGTTAGTTCAGAAATTACCCTACCTACAGTTTTGTCTTTACGTTTCCAACCCCTGCGCTCTCCAGGGTCTCTTCCTCTCCTTATTTCAGGTGTCAGCGCCCAACTGAGAGCCCCAGGACAAGAATTCACCTGGGAGATTGTTAGAAATTCAGAATTTCCCCAGGAAGCTTTACAACATTCTAACAGCGATTGCCTGGGTCTCGGGTGTTTGAGAAGGGCTGCGGGGGGGGGGGGGGGGGGGGGGGGGCTCTGTTTACTAAACATCCTTGGGTTTTTGCATAAGGAATTCCCTAAGGGTCTGATTAGAATCTCCCCGTGTGATTCTTATGACAAAGTAAATTTGGAATCTAGGGATTCGCCTTCCCCTAAGGATCCGGAAAACAATTTTTCACCCCAGAATGGAGATTTGGGGCATTCATCTTCTGGCTCTTTTTGTTGAATGGAATTTATGGCATCTGGGAGTGGACCACCTTTCCAACACCTCCACTTAAGAGAAAAATAAAGATTTAATTCCAAGAGTTCAAAAGGAAATAAAACAAATTCTCTTCTTGTTGCTAACATCCAGTACCTGAGATCAGAACCAGTAAAATGGGGATTAGGGGGCCAAGGTCCGGGATTAGAAGGGACGAGCCCCAGCTGGAAGTGCCCACAGGTTGGTGACCTGGTGGGTCCCTTTGACACCCTTGGGCTGTGGCGCCCCACTGACTGACTGCGCGGGTCTGTCCTGGGCCCCAGCCCCGCAGCGCTGTAACCAAAGTGGGGAGAGGCTGGATCGCGCGCTCAGCGTTTTCCCCACAACTGCCGAATCCCACGAGCCTGCCAAGCTCCCAGCCAGCTCTCTAGGGATGCACCCCCGGGTCCGTACGCCAGCCAGAGCCCGCCCGCTCCCAGCCCCCAGACAAGGGCGCAATTTACCAGTGGGAACCGCCTTTGGCCCACCCATAGGAGGACGCCGCTTTTTTTTTTTTTTAATGCCATCAAATTCAATATTTACAAGAACAATCCCATGCTTGGTGGTAAAATGACTGGCCACACAAGAAACAGTTTACTTCTTATAAGAAGAAAAACCCACGCTTGTGCCTTACTCTTAAAGAGAGAGAGAGAGAATAATAAATACAGTTTAAAAATTACCCCCCAAAATCGCTTATTGCACGCGCCCCCTTTCCCTCTAGTCGGGGAACAAATAGAAGTCAACTTTGCCAGGGACCCATCGGCGGGTCCTAGCAGCCCCCGCAGCTGTGGCCTTGTAACTTTAAACCTGGCCTGAGGTCATCGTTTTCGCGCTGGCCAAACGCAGGCAGGGGGCGGTCCTAGCGAACCCGAGACTGGGACCACCTTAGCCCGCGGACTGTCCCCGCCCTCGCCCTCGTCAGGAGAGATAAATGCTGACTCCGATCCGAAAGTTCCCAACTGCAAAGTTTGCTCCGCCTGCTGCTATTGAGAGCGAAGGAACTTGGGGACCCCTCCCGCGCTGGGACTTTTGCTCCCCGTTTTCCAGGCCCCACTCTCGCGCTCCATCAAGGGAAGGCCCCTGGCTACGGAGCTTTTTCATCTTTCCCGCAGCCCAGAAACTAGCTGCTCGGCCCCGCACCCCAAAGAACAAGTCAGCTAAGAAAAATGTGGAAGGTGCCAGTTCTGTTTTTCATTTTGGGAAGCGCATCGTTCTGGGTCCTGGCAGAAGGAGGTAAGGCCAGCGGGCGGAGCTCCCCGAGCAGCTAGCTGGTGGGGACGAGCGAGCCGGGACTTGCGGGTTTCCGGGGCCTGGAATGTGAGGTTGCCTGGGGGAGCAGAGGGGAGCTGGCAATGTGTGCGCGCCGGAGTCTGGAGGGCCCGGGAGAAGAAGAGACGGCGGCTTAGCGGGTGCCAGGTCCCAGGCAAAGAGCTGAGTGGGGTGCCAGGGAAAGACCCCGAATCCACAGGTAGCAGGTGGGGAGCAGAGGGTCCCTCGGGGGCCAACCGCCTCCTGCCAACCCTTGCTGGCTCCCAAGAGACATAGAGAAGGCTCGCAGCCAGGCGCCTTCCACTGGCGGCGCTGGGATTTTCTCCAGGGCTGTGTATTGGAGGCATGCTCTTGGCCTCAGAAGTACTGGCCCCATGGAATCGTGAGGGTCGGGGATGAGGGTGGGATATCCCTGCGCAGCAACGGCCTCCCTCTGGGGGCTTCCAGTTTGTAAGACAGCACGTTGGATACACCCAGGACCCCATCAGTGGGGATTCGTTATCCTCTGTAGAGAGGATAGTGTGTGGGGATAAGGACCGCACTGGAGGGTCCTGATTGCAGAAGGGAGTGGCCCATTATTAACACTGATGCTTAAGTTCCTTTGGGGCCACGTGTGGAACTTGGTCAACAGTGTTAATGACCGCGTGTTGGTGACTCCTTAGACCTTCACTTCTCTAGGTCTGAGAATGGGGACGCTGCTTGCCCATCACTCGCATTATCTCCTCCTTCTTCCCTCTTCTTGCCTTCTTGTCTCCTCTTGCCCCTTGCTGCTGTGTTGGTAGCCTCCAGTCACAAGGGTCAGTGTTTTCTTTTTCTTGGGTCTTTATTTTGATCTGTTTCCACAGTAGAATATAAACTCCTGTGGACACAGCTGTGTCTTCACCTTGATCCCCAGGGCCAAACAATATCCGGCCTTTAGTAGTTGCTCACTGAAGACTGGTTGAAGGCATTGTAAGCTAACTAGGGATCTTTGGAGCTGAAGGTTGAGGAAATGAAACTCTTTTACATTTTCCAAATTGAGGATGGAGGTAGGCCTGGAGCCAGAGGAATCCTGCCTGAAGGGAGGGGCTTGAAGGAGGCCTCCGCACAAAGACAGTAATACCTAGCTCCAGGCTGGTGAGTGATTCAGGGTGTGTTTCCCTGTGCGGCGCTGCTTCGTGGAGACTGAGGCGCTGTCTGTGCTGTGCGTGCGTGTGTGCTCACTTGTGTCCAACCGTTTTGTCAGCCCGTGGACTGTAGCCCCCCAGGCTCCTCTGTCCATGGGATTTCCCAGGCAAGAATACTGGAGCAGGTTGCCATTTCCTCCTCAGGGATCTTCCGGACTCAGGGATTGAACCCGGGGGATCTCGTGTATCTCCTGCATTGGCAGGCGGATTCTTTACCCCTGTGCCATCTGGGTGGGAAGCCCTCTTTTTGCTGGGTGGCGAGCTATTCACGGCGGTCCTATCTTTGGAACTTCTCTCTTCAGAGCGACATACATGGCTCTGCATTTCAGTTACATTTCCTTTCTGGCCAGACTATGCAAATGACACCATTTTGTGCTCAGCAGGGCAAGATGTGGGAGGCCCCCCCAAACTGAGCCTTGTCCTAGCTCTGCTCAGGAAACAGGGCCACTGGGTGGCATCCCCTCCCCTCCGCCAGCCTCCCCCACTCCCCTGCAACCCCCTTGCCCCGGGGAAGAGTTTAGCTGTAATTATCTTTAAGCCAATTCTGAATATCAAAGGTACTCCTAAAAAGAAGTAATAAAAAAAAAATCTTCGTGGCTGAAAAACCAGCCACTTCTAGTAATAGCAACTCGACTGGGAAAGACTGAAGCACCCTGGCCCCCTCCCCAGGGGCTGTGTGTCAATGCAGAGTTACTGGGCTGCTGGCGAAGAGTTGAGGCCCAGGAGGGGTTTTGTCTGAGGATAATGAGCGAGGCAACTTGAATATGGATGAATAACTTCTTTGAGCTGAGCTATTGTGGGCTCTAGTTGGGGAGCTGAGCTAGGGGTAATTATGGTGATGAATTTTACTATCCTTCTCTTAGGAGTCTACTCCCTACTGGGCTTCCCTCTTCTAAAGTTATAATCTGGTTCATTTGTACAAGCTGGTCCTCTGGCTTGAGATGTCCTCTGGGTCTCTTGAGATGTTAGTGGATTTAAAGGAGCTTGGTGGTCCACACATCTGGCATTTTCCTCCACCGTCAGGCCCCACCTTCACTCTGAACTTTCATCCGAGACACGTATAGCGGCCGCTCCGTGAGATTGTTTATTTCGTGAAATTCTGCAGGCCGCTGCTTGCTGAAAACCCACATGTGCTTTTTTCCCGGACCAGTCCACCCAGGATTAATCATGCGATGAACAAATTTCCCTGTGCTTTCCCCAAACGTCTTGCCAGTTTCAGAGGCTTGGAAATCTTCACGAGTTGCTAAGAGTTTTGTTGCACTTAAAGTATCTCTGGTCTGTTAGAGCCTTCTCGAGGGAGGCTCTGATGACACTGGCATGTGAGATCCAAGATAGCATTTCATATAGAAAAGCACATTTCTAAGAAGTATCCTAGCCTGAGAAGGCTAAACTGGGACATGGCAAGAGGGAGGAACCCAGGCTGATCAGAGGTACGTGGCGGCTGCCCCCCACCCCACCGCCCCCTCACCCCCACCCCCAGGCCTCTGAAGTGAGTGACCAGTGAGTAAGTCTATACCAAGAATTACAAGGACCCCAAACCTTGGCATGAAGGTGGATGGTGTGACCGAATGGGAGGGACACTACCTCTGTCCCATTCCCATCCCCCTCCACATGCCAGGAATGTCACGGTTCCCTCATTAAGTCATCATGCATCCTTAAATTATACATTATCATCTTCAGAATAGGCCAGAAGTGAAATTCCAAAAACGGGCCTAGCTCCAAACCTCAAAGCTTTTCTTTTTTTTTTTCAACCTGCATTACACATTGGGGGAAAAAAGAAAGGTTGAACTTGAAATTAAAGGTTAACCTTGCTTTAAACTCCTTAAACATGAAAACAAATTTTTCAAGGTATAAAAAGTTCTTTACATTTAATACTTACCGTAATATTCCTTTTAGAATGAAGATGTCAGGTACGTTAAAATAGGATTTGTTCATGCATTCCCCAAATAGAAACTCAGCATCTCCTGATATACTGGATACGAAATTCTAAGCACTTTTGGGGAAGGCACACCTAACATAAAGCATTGCACTTCAGTCCTTACCAGCAAAACGATGAACGTGTGCTTTAAATTCCACTGGCTTATCTGAATATTTGTCATATTTCTGGCTTCCAAGAACAGGCGTGCCAGGTTACAGCTTGTGGAGATATTATGGGGGAGGATGTTGAGAGAGGAGAGGCTCATGTAGCTGGCAGTACCCTTGTGAGACTTGAAGAAGTTAAATCAACTCCTGTAAGGCTCTCCAAGGACCCTCCCACTCCTTGGGTATTCCAAAGAAATACTCGGTGAGAGTGTTTTGTTGGAAGAGAATCAAATGAGTGGGGTCATCGGGTGGGCTACAGAGATAAATCTTGGGATTCCCACAGGGGTAAGCAAGAGAGATAAAAACACCTTTAAAAAGATTAAATATTTATTTTCTGGCTGCGCTGGGTCCGTTTCTGGCCCCTGATTGCTGGACTAGGCTTTTCTCTAGTTGAGGTGAGACGAGGGCTACTCTCTAGTTAACGGTGCGCAGGCTCCTGATTGCAGTGGCTTCTCTCGTTGTGAGCACGGGCTGTGAGGTGAGCAGGCTTCAGCAGTTGCAACATGTGGGCTCATTAGTCGCAGCCCCCGGGCTCAAAGGTTGTGGTGTACGGGCTTAGTTGCTCTGTGGCATGTGGGACCTTCCCAGATCAGGGATGGAACCCATGTCTCCTGCGTTAGCAAGCTGATTCATTACCACTGAGCCACCAGGAAAGCCCTAAAAGCACCTTTTGATTGGAGTTCTGAATACTTTCCCTACTGATTTCTTAAAACCTTGGGGGAAAGGGAAGTGATGGGGCATTGTATCTGAGGGTTATGAAATGGAGCCAGGTTAGGGAGCAACTGGAATTCTGCCACCTTCATCCAAGGCAGGAAACTGAGGTGACTGTTTTCCTTCCCTCGAGACTCACCCCAGCGCCCACCAGCCCGCCTGCTCCTGGCAGCTAGTCCCGGGCAAGCATTCCCTGGAGCTTCGATGGATAGGTTTTCCCGATTTTTCACCTGGCTCAGTGCCTTTGCCTCAGGAACTGCTCGGAGGAGATGGCTTTAATCCTCTGAGGGAAATTTGTAGATCTGGCCACTTCTTATGCCTGTTTGTCTGAGGAGCTGCACGCTGAGATTGTCAGGGCAACACTAATTTTATGTGGGGGCGGGGAACCCCACAAAACACAAAAACAACAAATTTAGTAATTGGATAATCACCTTTCCGGAAGGTAACCTCTGTCCAGAGGGTCAGGGTTCCAGACAGTAAAGAGAGAATGTCACTGAGGCCTGGGGGAATGGGAACAGCTGTCACTGTTACGTTTGTAGCAGATAGGGAAGGGCCTCTAGAAGATGCGTCAACATTCCTGATGAGAGTATTTCCGTTAACTCATCACACTGTCTTCATCTGGGTGTTGAGACATGAATAAATTAAGCAAAATGGTGATCCAATGAATGGTATCCTGCCTGGAGGAGTTTGTCTGCCTAGAATCTAGACAGGGAGGGGAAAAGAGTAAGGACTAGATGATGTGAAACTTGTCACGCCTGAGGAGTGCTTTAGTTACATATTTACTGAGTAACTTCTTTGTGAGTCAGGCAAGGTAACCTTGCTAATGGCTACTGTAAGGTGTCCTGTCTGTGGTTGAAGGGCTTCTGGTCTCAGTCCAAGTGCCCCAGGACTGTTCTGTCACAGTCTGGAAATGTACTCTGCCCACGTGCCCCTAGTCTTTGTTCTGTGTGCACCAGACAGCATTTCAGGTATTTCACTCTTGAGATGGGCATGCCTGGGATAACA